GGGTTGCATTCGGCATCTGCCGATAGGACTTGCAAGGAATGTTGGCCATATTGCCCTCATTTCGTAGATAATTCGCGGCGCGCGCGGTTGTGAATCGATAATACTAGTCGAAGCGAGCTCAGAAGATCATCATAAGCAATTTTGTTTTGCTTGGCTTGCACAGGTGTGGTCGTGCAGGTCAGAACTGTAGCTGTGTGGTGTTGTCCCATCTACGAATAATCTTCCTGGAATATCCGAGTTGAGGGACTTCTCCGACGGAATCTCCTATCAGATCCGCTAAATGTCAGCCACAAAATCTGATTAAATTTTTCCATGGTTTACACCCCCGTCTAGTGCTTTCGGGCGTACCGTTGAGAGTTTGCTTTGATTGGGGATAGTCAATAAACCCGGGAATCCACCACATGTCATTCCACTGGAGCTTACAAGGGCAATACACGCGCTAGGGCTGACTATATTCGTATGCGGGTAATACAGTCGTATTACAGACAGCGTCTCCGCTTAATGTTTTAGCAGGTTGGACCCTGTGGATCGTTACCACAATGGTCAAATGGTGTCTCGATTGTCTCGGTTGCGTATTCAATAGGGCGTGCTTTTGAAGTACGTAAGGGCTCAAGAGAGTGGGGTGATCTCGGATCGGAACTCTTGCTCTTGACGTACCACTGTTCAAACCCACAAATTGCAGGACTCTGACAGCCCACTACAGAAATTGGTTTGATCTGATAACGAGTTTGCCTCGGCAGTGGATCACCTAATACATAAGCCAGTTTGAACTTGGGAACTGTCGTTCGTTTCTCCAAGTCGCTTCCTTCGGTTGAGTGATAACCTTTCCCTCACAAGCATGTATTCCCAATTCTGGCCCAAGGGCGGACTGCCTGGCCTTCTGCACCATTATGTGAGTGACTGCTCTTCCGGTTTATGAAATTGTGGCCACAGCTAACATTTTATTTCCGCTAATCTCAGACGGAGAGCCTGATTACTTTCGAGTACACTTCCAATGCCATTCGCCAACCCCACAGTCTTGTTTTCCTTGGAGGCCTAGGAGATGGTCTAGCAACCACTTCCTACATGGCCGACCTGGTCCAGGCGCTTCAGAAAACGGAATGGTCTGTCTTCTCGTTGAATCTCACATCCTCATACCAATCTTGGGGTCTGGGGCATCTTGACCGAGACACGAATGAAATCGCCCAATGCCTCAACTATATCAAAGACTACAAATCGGAGAAATATGGCGCCGGAAAGATTGTCCTTATGGGTCACTCCACAGGTAGTCAATGTGTGCTACATTACCTTTCCCAGCCAAACCCACATACCAACACGCCGTCGTTCGATTCTGGGCTTCAGCATATCAAGCGCATGCCCCTTGACGGGGCCATCATGCAGGCCCCAGTTTCTGACCGCGAGGCTATTTTCTGGGTCCTGACGCACGGAATCGGAGGGAAGTCACCCAGCGAGATCCGAGTGGTGTATGATAAAATGGAAGCTTTGGCGAAGGAGGCTGCTCGAAGTGACAACACATTCGACACCATGCTGCCTCTGTCGTTGACCAGCAATATCTATCCTGGGAATACTGCAATCAGCTGCCGAAGATTCCTAAGTCTGATTAGTCTTAATAGTCCTCACTCCCCTTCAGAGGATGACTTGTTCAGCTCTGATCTCAGTGACCAGCAACTGGGGAAAACGTTTGGCATGGTTAAGGAACAAGGGCTGCTGAAGCACAAATTGATGGTTTTGTTTTCTGGGGCGGATCAGTCAGTACCCGACTGGGTTGATAAGGAGAACTTGCTAAAGAGATGGAAGAATGCCACCAACGGCAGCAGTGATTCCGATATCTGGGATGATGACCACTCCGCAATTATACCTAATGCCTCCCATGCCCTGAGCAATGACGACCAGGCTGAACCTCGAAAGTTCTTGGTTGAGAAGGTGCTCGGGTATCTTGGAACCGCATAGACTCTGATAGAAATAGAATTTAGAAATTCCTTGGTTACCGATAGCGATTATTAGTGAAACTTGTTTGTAAGAAATCGTCCAAGGCATGCCGTAATTATAATATTTTCATGGGCCACTACTTTTACTAGCGTTTTCAAACACCTACTCATACACAGAACAAGGTCTCGGTCGGAGTGCGCGGGATTCCGATACTGTGGGTCGTAGTACTAGCTCGTAACTAATTGACACGAGTATGTTTTAATATTTTTGTACCATGGTTTACAGTAACCCCGAGCTCGGCGATTGCTGCCTAGAAAGGAAGCTCTGGCTTCTTGGCGGTAGATTTTCCGATAGGTCCTTCTCAATATCCCCACTGTCGACTGATTTGGAGATACATACCTTTTTTTCGTGGTCATGTCATTGAGCGTTGTAATTCCAGGGACAATAATTTTCTGCAAGTGCATAAGCCTATGATTTTCTCAAGTTTACGATAATCTAAAGACCTCATCTGTTCCATCTACTGTACCAGTAGGTAGTCCAACTATCTGATTAAAAGTTACGAGCTAAATCTCAATACCCAGGCATCAATATTCGCTATAACACAACCGCCCACTGGATTCCTGGTAACAGGTTCATCACTTTCAACAGCACAGCTTGATTTAATCAAAATTCCTGGGTGAATAAAAGCCCACGTCAAGAGATCGAATGGAAACTTATAATGGTTACATCCGCACGCCAGCGGACGCTATTCTCCTCATTCAGGCCTGCTACAATGGTTTCCTGCCTCGTGTTTGCAAACGACTATCACCGAAAGAGGGACGATTGATTCGAAACGGCTCTGTTTTCATCTGGGAAGAGCATGAAACTGGGCTGAGAAGGTGGACAGACGGGAGAAAATGGAGTCCAAGCCGAGTTTCTGGGCGCTTTCTCATTTATAGAGAAATGAAGCGCAAAGAGCTCAGTGAATCAACGGAGGAGCCTGCACCAGAATCGGCCGTCACATCAGAGGGCTCATGCAAAAAGAGAGACTTCCGATCAGTTGTTGGAATAGCAGATGATCAACCTGCCCATCGGCCCAAATCACAATTCATGAAACTCTCATTTAGCATAGCCAGTCCCACCGGCCAGCACTGGCATTTGATCAATTATTATCACCAGCCCAGCGAGTCCCCCACCGAATTACGAGAACCAACAGCGGACCTTTCACTCAAGCACATATGTCCACAAAGAGACCTCTTTCCTCTATCATTGGTCAACGACCGGCATAATTTCGCCATTTTCTCGAAAGGACCTAATTTGGCGAGCGTGACTCCAGTTGATAAAGAGCAAACTTGCAAGATGTGCGGAAGCTGTTACCGACAACCCCTTGAAGTCTAGAAAGAATCTAATTCTTCATCATCACGTAGTGCCTCATGAAATTGTGTCTAAAAATCAAGTTAGATACCGGTACATGTCTTAGAGTATAAGGCGCAAGACCTACAGAGATTGATCGGATCTCTTTTCATAGCTCCATGTATCTGCTCCCGGGTCTATCGCATCATTAGGCCAGACTTTCCTTCAATCGACCTCTCCGCCTTTTGGGGGCTGAAACTCTGACAATTAGTAGGTACATTAAATTCAGCTGCTTCGGAAGTTGCCTTCATTTGCGGCCTGTGTTTGTCAAGCATCGCAAAGGAAATTTTGTCATGGGAACAATCAAGGTGGCTACACTGGATGCTATCGACCGCTCAATGATGCCAAAGAACCTGCTGTTTGGATGCTGTAGATCAATCTTACCCCTGAATTAATTTGTGATAGTACTTTATCTAATGATCATCTGATTTAAATCGTAATTCAGGAGGGGTGTATCTAAGGCTACGTGAACAAGGTGGAAGTGGTAAAGAAGACTAGTATATTGTGCCGGGTAATGAGATCCCAGAACGACGGATACCTAGTCCTAATTTAGGTAGCAGCAGTTCGTGTCTTTCGCTTCAAGGATTTCAATCTCTCATGGTCCTCTTCCTGTATCCGAATATATACTGTGTGTGCTTGGTCTGCGATGTATGGTCGACTTTTATCGAAACATGCACTTGCATTCCTTCATCCTATCTAGCTTTGCATTTCCGCACCAGTCAAAATGGACCCGCTCGGCCAAAGGATTATAAGAAATCACTGGCGAGATTTGACAAACTCGCGCAATGCAAGCACTGAATGGATATATCTGCAGAGTACTTTAATAAATCAACAGGGCAGTGCAGAAACGGGAATAATCTCATACATAGCGACCATATAGCAGAAACACATGGCAAAGGTAGGTAAGCTGAGGTATAAAACCCCAGTAAAAATCATGATCGGCATAATCCACAATAGGAATGCTGCGGATGTAGCATCACACGCTGTATTGATGAGAGGCTGGATTATAATTCGCTGAAATGCCATGTAAGTTGCCGCGCTAGACCAGGCCAGAAGCAGCATAAACTGTCTCAAGTCGTGAGCCTTCGTTTCCCATTATTACCTGGCTCTAGGGGTGTTGATTTTGTACCAGTATCGTGTAGACAGCGCTATGGGTGTGCCATATGATCAAGAACAAGCCACCCAGGAGGCTGGATGAGATCGCGCCATACCTAAGAGCGAGATTTGTTCGGTTGTAATCTTCTTCAAACTCGGTGGGAAAATAGAGAGACATTTTTGGGGGTCTGTCCGAAAGGCTCAAGTGGAAATTTTTGAATACAAGGAGGAGGGACGTTCGTGATGGAAAGGGGCCGATAGAAATGACACGGTCGCAAATGGCGGTGCCTAGAACTAAGCCGCCTTGTCAACCTTGCCAACAAAAAAGCAGCCATCCTATTCGTGTTTCGATTTGGCCCCATTTCCGCGTTCCTGCTGAAGCTAAGACCTCAATCTCACCAGTGAATCTCGAGGATAAACCGAAAAGGTGATGCCGTAGCGAAAGATGGGTAGAAGCAAATGATAAGGATTTATAGATCGAGAGATGGATATGTGGCATCTTGGAGCGAGGGAGAAAGCGCAATGAGAAGACAACCAAGTTGGCGCCTTAGGCATCCAAGTATCAGAATTAATCAATCAATTCTTCAATTACACATAAGCAATTGTGAAGGGTCAATTCCCTCATGATCCAAAAGCATGGAGAGCATCACCGCTTGACTTGACTGAATATTCACAGTCAGGCTCTTATGGACAGCAGAAATTATCTCTGTATCATGTATCACTTGTTCCGGCAGACCCTTCGATTGATATGTCCAACGCATCCCCGCCCAGGTGATATCCTCTCCGACATCTGCTCCGGGTGCCGTCAGCTTCTCAGCCTTAGCTTTCGTCACAGTTGGTGGGACCTGGAACTTCACTTCGCGTGAAGGACGAGGGGAAGAGGTCGTTTTGTTCCAAACTTCCAGGTTGATGATGACAAGTTTAGACAGACGTTCAGATTCGTACCCTGCATATGCTACGAGTTTCTCCTGTTGCAGGACTGGTACCACTTGCAGGTCAGTTGCTCCATCTATGAAGTCGGCGGCAAATGGAAAAGCATAGTAAGGACCCCATACGCCCGGGCCTTGGTTGCCATTATCAGGATCAAGGCCGGGAGTCCACGCGGAGTAGCCAAAGCCCAGCCCTTGCTGCATGCTGATACGAGAGACATTCTGGGACATGGCGTAAAGAATGAAATTGGCATTCCAAAGAGTGGCAGCGAAGGATTGCTCCACTTTATAGTTATTGATTGCCCCTGGGTAAGTGCCTACCTCCCCCATGACGAATGGGATACTAGGGTAATTCTGTGACATAAATTGGGCTGCCAAAGTAGTATTGGCCATAGTGGAAACAAGTGCTGTGTGATTCATGAGATCACCTAAAAATTTGTCAACATAACCCTCGTTCCGTTTCCGAACAGCACAACATACGTTCGATTTCTGGTGGATTAACTCCGAACCATTGATAGTAGTGCGTTGACACTGTCTTCACCATATTTGTGGAATCAATATCTGTTGAAAACAAATTTGGTCTACACAAAATATCAGCATGGAGCTCAATTTACCTATTAGTAGTACTCATTTACTAATCACTTACAGTGTCCAATCGCCAACCCCCACTCCGGCTATAGTTCCTGCCTGAATGATACTTCCTTTGGGAAGGGATACTTCCCCTCGGATAGTTTTATCAAAGGCCAGCCACTGTGACGCATAGTCTCCTGGGGACCACTTTGCTGGGTATAAGTCCGGCTCATTCCCGATTTCGAGTGCAAAGAGGTTCTCTGCTCCGATCGCGGATACAGCAATCTTGAGTCCTTCAATTGAGTTCGTTTTGTTCAAGTAAACCAAAGGTACTTGATAGACCCATTCCACACCGGGAAAATTTCTGAATCCTTCAAACCAGGATGGTCCAATTGTAATGTTGTAAGCCACGTTATTACCTATTTCATCGGGGGGTATAATGACTGCTTCAGCCTGATCAAGCACCAGTGTGGAAAAGTCACCGGATGTACCACCGACGCGAAAGTTGACAGCTGAGCCTTGGCGACGGGCAACCGATTCGACTAGATTTCGGGAAAATAGGTTTGGCGAGGATTTGTTTCCTGGGTGTCAAGATTAATTATTTTGGATTGTAGTTGATGTGGATATTTCATTACCAGAGTAGGAAGGGAATGACGATGTTTCACACGCAAACCCAACGAATCCCGGTTGAATAGGCCTAGATGCATGACCTGGTACATGAGGAGATATGTCAAGCTCCACGGCTGCGACATCAACTCGACCTTGGGCTAGTTTAAGAATCGACAGAGTTGATAATTGCAATAGTATGTTGAACAACATAGTTACCACAAGAGAAGACTCTCAGTAGAAGTCTTATTGAAGCTATAAAGCGAACATAGACTAGAATTGAAATCAAGTCAGAACTCCAGGGTAACCCTTCTTATATATTATAGAAATAAACAGAGAGCTGCAGGGCCTTGATATGCATTGTTAGCAGTCGTAGTTGTATAGTTTAGTGCTGCTCTTCTTAGCTTGGTTTCATCACGTTTACCGTTACCGAAATCCCCATTGAGGAATGAAAGAGATTTTTTAGTCCTTGACCGATTGATGAGAAATGAGTCCTCATCCTATCAGAGGCGAATATTAGATTCATCGCCGACTCCATCGTAACGCGGGCCAGTTGAACTACAGCATAAGTCACCTGAGGTGGGCGTTTGGGGTCAGGATAATGTTACATTGTAAACGCGGGGGCGTGAAGCTAGTTACTCCGCCCTATTCGTAACTATCTGCCGACAGGGATACCAGGAATATCAGAACCACGTTGTAAAAGGCTAAGCTAGTATCACCAAACATATTGCTCCTTCTCTAATTCGTTAATTACACGACCGAAACGCTTTCCAATCGGAGGAATGTATCTAGTAATTCAAAGCCCCGACTGAGAGTGCTGCGATTTCGATTAATTAATGTTGAACTAATACGGAGTTTTGAATCCTAACGCCCGCAAGTTGAATTCGCGTATGTGTGAAATGAGAAGATCCCGAGGTTAGTCAAAATAGTTAGTAAAAGTTACTAGCTATACACCCAGACACAGTGGAAGAAAATAGAAATTTTGATATTCATAACTCGACGTGAATTTTTCCGTCGGACGCCTGCGAAAGTCCGCTTGCTATGCTTTGCGGCGGTCGTGACAAGTTCCTTTAAATCGTATCGGTCGAAGGAAGCTTGTTGTTTTGAGTGATTATGTGGAGCCAGCCCGGCAGCTGCGGTGTTGGCTCCTTGACCAATATTTGGTGTCATCTCAAAACTGGTATCAGTCCTATCTAGTCGTGTGGACTACCTTAGCGTATAGGAAACAGGGAGCAGGAAGGGACTTAAGATAGCGATAACCTTGGTGATGGTTGTTGAACTTGAAATCGAAAGAAATAATAATAAAGTGCTTATAAATTCGATCACTATTAATCAGTTGATTAAGATCTACTATGTGTTCAGCTTTTTATGCGAGTGTATTCAAAAAGAGATTTGTTGCTAACATCTGCTTCAGGCGAAAGTATTGGTCAAAAGCTACCTACCGCAGAGAGAACATTTGGCAAATTGTCGCACTCATTCCTCTGGGCCCTCAGTTTACAGGTTTGCCTTATTGTATCCGCGGAGAGTCGCCGCTGCCAAACTTCCCTCATAAGAAGACAGCAGCCTGTCGGCCTCCCTCTTTTGGCGCTCGAGTTTTTCCTGTACACCTTTACCCAGGCGCTGAATCTCTCTACGGCCCAACTGCTGCAAATGTACCTCATCCGGGCCATCGACAATCCGCATCGTCCGAGCGGAATCCCAAAGGCCTGGCAGAGGTGTATCCTGGCAAACCCCGGCAGCACCCCAGATTTGAATAGCACGATCAATGACGCGAAGGGCCGTGCGAGGCACAAGAACCTTGGCAGCGGCAATTTCTCTAAGTGCGGCTTTGGCACCTTCTTGGTCGATTCTGATAGCGGCGTTCAGGACAGTCATTCTGGCTGTGTCGATCTCGATGCGCGACTTGGCAATCCATTCCCGAATCGTCCCATGTGAGGATAGTGACCGTCCGAATGTCTTCTTTCTTTCATCGTTTGCGTGTGAAATCATCCATTCTAGCGCTGTCTCCGCTGCACCAATCGTGCGCATCGAGTGATGGATCCGACCGGGGCCAAGTCGTCCTTGAATGATGTCGAATCCATGTCCTTCCCAAGCACGATATTTGATACCGGAGCACGGACATTGTGGAGGGTGATATGGCCATGTCCGTGCGGCGCATCATCATATCCGAAGACAGATAGCATGCGATGAACGGTGATACCAGGAGCGTTTGCGGGGACCAGAATCACCGAATGCTGAGTATATTGGTTTACAGAAGATATGCCCCCAATCCTACCCATGAAGATATAAAGCTCGCAGGTTGGATCCCCGGCACCGGGGGACCACAATTTCTAATAACCAATGAAATCAACCATCATATATTTGATTCCAATACTATCGGAGGAACATACCGAGCCATTAAGGACATACTCCTCCCCATCTCGACGTATTTCACAGCGGATGTTTCGGGCATCGCTAGAAGCAATATCCGGTTCGGTCATCAAAAAAGCAGATCGGATTTTCCCTTTCATCAGAGGATCCAACCATCGCCGCTTCTGAGATTCGGTACCGTACTTCACTAGGAGCTCCATATTGCCAGTGTCTGGTCCTGGGTTGTTAGTTGCCTGCATTCAAATCGATTAATTACCCTCGAAAGAAAATTTTGTGTTCGTGGTATACCTCGCTGGCAATATGACTTCTCCCAAGATACTCCGCCATCAACCCATACTCCACATTACTAAATCCAGCTCCGTTATGTTGACCAAGAAACATGTTCCACAAACCAAGCTTCTTGACCTTGACCTTCAACTGCTCCAGTATAGCTGGCTTTTTCTCCCATCGTGACGCCCCTTGTCCTAGCTGTGCCTCGAAGGGATCGTGGGCAGGAATACATTCCTCGTCTACGAATTGCGTCGCCTGAAAATGAGCTCAATTAGTTGGAGGCAGCGGAGGCAGTGCGGTAGATTAATGAAACATACAAGGCCCAGTGTAGACTTGGCACGGTCGCTGATGAAAGGTAACGCAATGGGAGGGATATTCACGGATGCTGGCATGGTTCTGTGATGAAGCGGAATATATTTTCTCTGCTATGAAATATAGAATAAGTAATGTTTAAATTAATATTGTAGCAAGGAGTGCATGGTTTAATACATGCCATTGGGATTCCCTTCGATAATATGGTCTCCAGAAGTCTCATCCTGTGTCTCTACAGGAGGCAGCCAAAGAAGTTGAGTGGCATCAACAGGTTACAGGCTGAGGTCATGCGTGACAATTAGATTGCAGCATACTCGCGGGTAGTGCGGAGACCTAAGAATCGCAAACTTGAACTGCATATTGTGGGTTACGGTTCCGACTTCAAAAACCGGGGTAAGGACTTGGGATAAATGAAATATGCTGCAGTTGGAAACAAGAGTAATAAAGCTGGGAAAAGGGAAGAGAAGGAAACCATGGCAACTCACTATCAAAAAATAACATAAGCTATCTAGGGGTAAGAAGAAAATCTAGCCCTAATTCATATCTAGGCATTATAGTAGATAGTCCTAAACACATGTCCATCAACCACCCTTAATTATAGAATTAAAATTAGTATCTGGGTCTCAGTTATAATATATAAATATTTTTAGTAAACTTTTCAAACCTTTATAGATACTAATCTATGCTATACGAGATATTCTAATACCTACCTCCTATGATCTTAGTAATTTTTTATAAATGAATTATGTGACGAACCGGTGTTGTCAGAGTCACATGCCCGATTACGTAACCACAACCGTCTGTTTCATCTGTACCATAACAATTGCGCAAGAGCTTATCTCTCTTTCCTTTCTTTAGCTTTATTACTTTTCATTAATACTACATGAATATTATTTCATTCTGAGTCCTTACAAATTATTAGTATTTTCCTATTATTTCTGGCTATTTTTTTCTACTAATTTTTCTTCGAGTCTGTCTTTCAAGTATATACTTGTAGTATTAGTAGTATGTTCGCTATTCAGGCGCTCTTGTTTTGTCCACATGATATTTAACAAATTAACTCAAATAACAAAGTCTTAGTCTGTCTTGCACGATTGGAACCAATGTTCGACCATTTCATCAAACTTCGGGCTATATAGCCACTCTAGATCAAACGGCTTGATCTCAATATCCAGAGTGGCCGAGTTTGGATCCTTTGGCATTCTTCTGGCGTCAATCTGCGTATTCAGCTCAAGTACCCGGTCAACCCGTTCCTGTCGACCTTGCTGCCATATTTTCAGGCCCTGATTCAAATCACCAGCCAGTGACTTCTTCAAAACCAAAGCATAAGTGTAAACATCCTCGAAGGCCTGGTTGACTCCCTGGCCAGCAGTAGGTGGTATAGCGTGGGCCGCATCTCCAAGGATTACCACGCGGGAATTCTCTGATGCCCAGGTATCGAGCTTGGGCACCACATAGAAAGGCCAAAGGTTGATTTTGTTAAGTGGGATATCCGACACGGCCGACTTAACAATTTCCGGGAAGTCTTCGGAGCCCTGGCGGAGAAATTCCACACACCACTCCTTATCGTTGAGTAACTTGCTCCATCCCTCGCGGTCTAGCTCCGGCGCACGTTTTTGTTTGCCAATGAGCATTTCCGAGCCATCAGGCTGTTGCGGCGCAATGACAAAAGCGCCATGCTTGGGATTCATGATTGTTATGGGAAGCTGAAATTCCTCATAGGTTTGGAGTTGACTTGTTGGAATGGCAGCTGTGACACCCATGGCATTGGTGAATCGAGGTTCCAATGTGGGATAGAGGTGCTTTCGGACTCGTGAATGGATCCCGTCAGCCCCAACAAGGCAAGATGCGCGACCAGTAGTGCCGTCCTCAAATTCCCAGGTGACTTCAGTTTCGGACTCGGAGAGAACCCGAGTAAATTTCTTTCCATATTCAATGGGAATACCCTTGTCCTTGATGTCGGACAACAGAGCGTCGATCAATTCGTAGCGGTAGATGCGCAGTGCATCATACCCATATTTCGAATGGTTGCCGAATTCGTATGAATCAAGCGGTTTGTTGGCATAAAAGTGCAAGTCCTTAAACTCAAATCCGCGCGGCTTGATGGCCTCGTAGATTCCTATCGCATCCAGAACCCGCAATGCGTTTGGGGAAAGCATAATAGCGCCTCCGATATCAAGAGATGCCGATCGGGACTCATAGATAGTGCACGGAATAGACTGTTTTTGTAGGCAAAGAGCCAAGGTAAGGCCCGACAGCCCGGCGCCGATGATTGCAATGTTGTTGGAAGCCATTTGAGCTGATTGTCAGAAGACCTCGGGAGTTGATCGAACCGCGCGTGTAGAAAATGGTTTAGCTGGTTGCTTTTATTGTGGTAGAAGTTGAAGCAGAGATATGCCTAGAGATGGTCCGAGTCTTTTATATACCTGGCTTGTGTCTTACTATTCTGCCCAGGTGTTTAATCATTTACCTGTCCAGCCCAGCCAGTCATCCTCCGGATCCGAATTTCCGGAGATACCTTCGGATCCGAGGGAATGTTAGCTCCGATGCACACATGCGTTCCGGAAATTCCTTCAACGACGCATGTAATCACAGAAACGAAATCACTACGCATCTCATTTTAAGTTACTACTAGAATGTCACTGAATATTTCCCATCGCTGGGTATTTGTCTCCAAGTGACCCCGCGGAGAAACTCGATCCTGACATGGAAGTTGGTGTCGGTATTGGACTAACAGGACTGTTGGATATTAAATATAGTACATGAGGGGAGATACATAGAACATTGACACCTTTTCGGGTGCTTCATCGAGGGCCCAAGAGCTGAAGGCAACGAGATGAAAAGTATTCATCCATCTCGGACTCAAAATCTCGATCGAAAATGCCTGCAACGTAATGATCCGGGCGTAGCAAGTAAGCGACATTCTTCTTTAGTCCAACCTGGTCGTGTCTTGATTCCCATTTGAAAACAGCGAGTTCGGCATTCCTTTTCCGACACCACTTCGCAAGATCCTGTGACCCTTCACCATACACTTGCACTTGCCAGGAAATACCACTAAGCGTCGAAAAATTGTCGCTTGTCTCGGTCTCGGCCCACGGAAGGCGATCACCAGGCTGAATTTTACCCCCGTTGTTATCAGATTGATTGATAGGGCTGTCCCGGTATGAGCAGACGAGCTGGGAGCCACGCCGAAAGATCTCAGATCGCGTAGATTGAAATCTGGTGACTATCGGAGCAAGGTAGGGGATTATCCAGGTGCGGAGCATATGCGAAAAGAAGCCTGGACTCGTGAGAACCGTGAAACCGTGGTCGGTCGCACCAACGACACTTAGTGCAAACGAGCGGCGTTCGGATTGATAGGAATCAAGAAGCTTATTTCTTGACTCCTCTGGCATTGAAGGTTGTTTTATAACGCTGGCAAGTTTCCATGCTAAGTTGATGGCGTCCATTATTCCAGTGTTCATACCCTGGCCACCCACAGGGCTGTGAATATGAGCCGCATCACCCACAAGGAACGCACGACCCTCGCGGAATTTATCGGCAACTCGGTGATGACAGCGATAGGCAGAGAACCAATTGGTGTTCTTGATTGCTATCCCCGATGTTTTCTTGATGTTCGGCAGCACACTCTCTAAAGTCAACTCTGGAGGAGGATGAGAGTCATCGATTGGTTGGTCACTGCCTTTGGGTATAGTAGTCCCAACCAGACGTATGCGTCGTTTTTGTGCGAGCGGGATTATTAGGTTGAATAAATTATCGGCGAATGTAAGGTGTGCCTCCCCATTGTAAAATGGGCTTTCTTGGTCTTCAGTCTCGACATCGGCAATGTAGAAAAATGGTGCGTAGGTTTCTCCTTCGTACTTGGCGCCTATCGTATGTCGAACCGCCGAGTGAGCTCCATCACAGCCAGCGATATAAGCGCTTTCACAGGTGGACTCTGTCCCATCGTCTTCACCGACGAGAGTCGCATAGATCCCTGATCCATCATCCAAAAACTTCTCAAGTTTTTTACGCCGCTCCACGAAGATTCCGAGTGAGTTAAGACGTTTTTCGAGTATTTCCTCGTGCTTGTCTTGTGGTATAATCAGCAAAAATGGGTACGGCGTCATTCCTGTACCGAATTCGCCAAGCGGTATGCGGGCACAGTGTTGACCATCCACCCAAACATTGGTTGCTGGGAGTTTGTATCCATGGCTTAGGAGTTCGTCGGCCAGGTCAAGTTGACGGTACAACTCCAATATGCGCGCATGGACAACCAGCGCACGAGAGTTTTGCGCTGGGCTGCTCCCTTGGTCGACAATGCGAAAGCTGATTCCTTGTCGTTGAAGCCAGAGGGCCAACACAAGTCCTGTTGGTCCCGCCCCAACGATCAAAACATCCTTTGTAGACATTATATTTTGACCTATCGGTGATGACCAAAAGTATTTGGCTGATCTCGTTTAACTGAGCGGATTGAAATGTTGTCTGTGGTAATGAATGAAGAATCGAGAGGCAATCAATGGAGGAGTCCACGTTTTTCCTTTTCTTTTGAGGGGATCGCGTGACGGTTAAATAGAGAGTCAGTCAGGACCTGAACACACACTCAAATTCCACCCAAATACTCGTATAGACCCGCGTCATCAGGAAGTCCCTCAACAAGGATTTCGTATTCGGGCGGCCTAACCACCGACCCCGAGACTTTCCTTTGCCGATGAGATCGGATCTTCGCCCCACCGATCGCCGCGAACACCGGCCACGGTGAGTAAATCTCACTGTTAAAAGGGACTCGTGACACCTGGACAAAGCCATCCTAGTTGAGAAACGATAAGCAGGTGAAGGGATAATAATGTACTCCAGGTGTCTTGAGTCACCCGAGATCGCCCGAATGTTTCCCGAGATTTAGTCGCCCTCGATTCATTTGAGTCATTCGACTCATGCGCCCGACAACAGCGCTGTGTCATCTAAAAGCGATTCCTGAAACTGGTTCAAAAGGTTGTCCCATTCGTTCCAATTTGGACTGTCGGTGAGCACAAAATTGATATCCTCCAGTCCAGAGGCAAGATATTCGCTGGGAGCACTTTGACTAGGTAACTCATGAAAA